CATGATCAATGCGATTGGTCAATTCTTTCTTCATCCGAGATCTCGGACGGATTTCTAGCATCGTGGACACTGGGCTTAAAAGTACAGTTGTAAGAAATCGGGCGAATTTTAGTCCTAATGGTATCTAATCGTTCAGATCACGTCTTAATGTGATCACGGATTACAGTAGCAAAAAATAACCTAATGCCCGCGAAAATGACGTTGCCCGAACGGACACGGGCGCCTGCATCTACGGCATATCGAGATAACGCGCCTCAGGACGAACGCACGAGTCGAGCCAATTCGCGGACACGCATCAGGAGGAAGCAATTGCACAGCCAAAGTCGACAACACTCAAAAATATTTGATTGTAAGCACCCGATCCAAAACGCGTCCACCACGGTCGAGTTCTTCAGAACTTAATTTTGAAAGTTGATTGGTGTTGAGTAGGATGGTATCGATTTATTGGGTGCGTTCAGCAGAACGTTTGTTTTGCAACTGTTGGAAGTTTCCTTCGCGCTAATTGAATCATACTTTTAGATCTAGAAGAATGGTCCTATCTCAGCAGACAATCATAAAACGGTTGCAAAACTGTTGAGTCTGCTGAACGCAGCCATTCACATTCGCAGTAACTTCATTTTGTCCAATAATCATTTTGAACAGACTTGCTGGCAGACCCGGATAATACACACGGGTATCTCTAGAACGTACCTGACGCTTCTCCTCACACCCACCAACAGCGGCACGGTTGGTGGAAGGGGACTTCGAGAACGACCATAGGTAAAAACCTAAGAAAGACCTCAGAGAGTAGCAGTGCGCGTCGTACAGTCAGTCACGCGCAAATCGTCGGCTCCTACCATTTCGACCGATCTATCACCGTTTCTAGTTTACCATATGGCAGCACTACATTTAGAGACGAGAGACTCCATCCAATCAGAGAAATATTTACGATCACATGACACTTTGCGCATCAGGGTACTTATTACCCCGGATCTACAATAGGGTTTTAAGCCTTAAGCCATAATGCTGGATTCACACTGCATCCGATTTTCGTCGTAATGAATCACAGTCGATTATTCTCCTCGAATTCGACTGTGATTGGTCAATTTTTTACAGCTTAAGTCTTAAAACACCTATTGTAGAGCCGAACTTATGGAACATGTCGAAATGAATTTCAATGCTTTCGTTCATACTAACTTGCCGTATTAGTATGAACGAAAGCATTGAAATCCTAAATTGAATAAACTTTACCGGCACCGGCATAAGTTAAAGGTTACGGCCATTATAAATCAGGCTTTACTTCTATTTCTCTGTGCGTTCATCTTTACACTGGCTCCATGGAACTTTACCTTAACGCTTGCATGTGAATGCACCTTAACAGTTTGGTCATTAGTCATCTATCATTTTCGTTGAGATTGAGTTATGTTTTGTTAAAATTGATTCGAGTGTTCACATTCACTTATATAATAATAAAATTTCCCTGTTAATTTTCCTTATTGCTCCTACCAGCAGTTAATTATATATTAATTATATATATTGTAATATATGTATTGTTTACTTATATGCGACGATGGAGAAGGAAAGGTACGCAAATATTAACAAGTTTTTAATAGATAAAATTATCAGAAAAATGCTCGCGAATTGAAATTTGTATAACTTATATTTTTTATATGAAAAAATTGTACTGAGAAAAAATTGCGAAATTATATTAGATTAAAAGTTTTTTACCGTTAAGTGTTATCTTTTAGGTTAAGATTTCTGTGAATAAATAATATGAATATAAATAGAAAGTTAGGTAATTGTTTTCTTCCTCGACGTCACCTCAGAAATATTCTAATCCTATGTAATGTAAACAATATATAATTTGATAAATGTTTGATCTTTGATAAATATACTGGTCTTATAAACATTTTAGATTTCTTAGTTTTAAAACATTATTTATACTTATATAATATTTGGAATGAAAATGTTTCAAACCCGTTAACAAGATACTTTAAATCATTAATCAATTATTCTTTTTATAATGTTGAATAACGATTTTAAATCTTTTTATGTAAAAGAAAAAATCAAACAAGTGTATTTTTATGAAAATGTAACATGAAGACATAAAATTCAAACCTTTTTTTACAGGTTTACAATGCTTCTTTTGGAACCAGGAGAAATATTTTTTGAAGATTATAGTGTTCAAATGAAAAGGCTAGATACTCAATTTTCTGAAGATAAGTGGATGGAGGGAAGATTAAAATTATGCTCTAAATCTTTAGTATTTGTAAATAAAGATATTAATCAGCCATTAATTAAACTTCAACTTAAAGAAACTACATCAATCGAACAGTGTACGTTAAGCAATGATATAGTAAGGTAAATATATTTTGAATATAGCTATAAAAATAAATGTAACTGATAAAGAAAAATTTATATAGTATAAAATAGAGAGAATAAAAAACAGAGTACTGTTTTTGTACAATTCTTTTTATATTTTGATATTATTACAATTGTTTATTCATTTATATGTTTAACTATGTTGCAGTAATATACTATCAATAGAATGTAAGCAACATGTGGAAATGTTAGAGAAAAATATATTAGCACCGTATAGATTTATACATCAG